ACATTTTATGTGTGTTAAATTTGAATCTATCAAAGTCTTAGCCATGATTTGCAACAAAATCATGATATGCAGGATCTATCTTGAGATGAGATGTGCATTGCTATGCTATACAATTAAATTAATGGCTTTATTATTTACATTAATTGCTGCTAGCTAGCTATGACATGCAACCCTTTTCCCGGCAAAAAGCAGCATTCCATGAAAATTAGCTTACAAGAAGCAACGAGACAAACAGATAATGGTGCCCTTTATATAAAATTCATGCCTGACATCCATAACTAATCCCACTACACTGCAATCAAATTACTAGTGCTACAAAATTTAATTCATCACTTATTAAGAACATAACCTCTTCTCCTGGACAATTCTGATAATTCTATTTGTGAGAAATTAAATCGGAAAGACGAACGATGGATGAATTTCAATTTTCAAGCTTCAAAAAACTCTATTAAATGACAAAATGATCGAGAGACAAGGCATCTTAAAACTCATTCGAGCTTTTTTGGATGCTGCAGGAATGTTCTTAAGGCTACAATTGACGTGCCAAAGGCAGGAGAGGTCAACTTCCACTGCACCCACCTTGACCATCTCGATGAGAACTGGCGGATGAAGCAAATAGATGCCATAATACAATCAAGTGATGCTCCTCATATCTTAGCTGGAGGTCTTAATTCCCTCGACGAGACAGATTACTCTGAAGAGAGGTGGACAGACATTGTAAAGGTCGACCACCGAACTGTTGCTGTCATAGAAAAATGAGTTTCATGACCTTTCTTTATGTGATTGAAATATGATTGCTATTGCTCGTTTCATTTATGCAGTACTATGAGGAGATGGGAAAGCCAACACCAAAAGTTGAAGTAATGAGTTTCATGAAGAGTAAACATTACAGTGATGCCAAGGACTATGCAGGAGAATGTGAATCAGTAGTCATTTTAGCTAAAGGCCAAAGTAAGAAACATGAATGTTAATTACTCTATCTTCACGCTATCAAAACTTGTATATTTCTGCTCACAGCGCCATTACTTGGATACATGCAGATGTGCAAGGGACTTGTAAGTATGGGACTCGAGTAGATTACATACTGGCATCTCCAAATTCCCCCTACAAGTTTGTTCCAGGGTCATACTCGGTGTTTTCTTCTAAAGGGACTTCTGATCATCATATTGTGAAAGTTGATATCGTAAAAGCAAGGTGCAGCAGTCAAGAAAAAACCGCTAGAAAGAAACGGCAACCTAAACAGAAAGTTGTAAAGGTAACCGACAGTTCTCCGACAAAAGGTATATGGAAAACACACACATGAGAGAAGACAGATTTTTTCACCTTTTCTTTTGTTGGTACATAAATTATTTCAGTCTTGGTTTGGTTTCCTGGTGTAAAAGAGGAGCTGGGGATGGCGATGTTAGACCCGCTTCCACCCAGCTCTCTCATGCACTTTGTAAATCTTGTAACTTCGGATTAGCTAGGTTAAAAACTCATGAGCGAGATGGTATTTGGTGTGCTTCCTATCTAATTGCATAGCTTGTATTGGAAAACTGAGCATGCTGAAACTCCAGTAAGAAAGAAATTAGACTTTATTGGTTCTTCCCTTTTGACTGCCATGTTACCATATATGACTTTCCTCGCAATGGAAGCCGTGAAGAATTAACCAGGAACAACAAAGTAAGGCAACATATTAAGATAATCCTCTCTATTCCTCACCTCGGAAGCTGAATCCCATGCGCATTCACACAAAGACACCAGTATTATGACAAAGAAATACGATATACCTTAGCATTTATGAATTATTCAGAATAATTAGTCTGTCAGTCAGAATGATGAA